AGGATGAGATGTCCTGGTCGGAGCGACTGTAAATTACCTTACCTGTATTCTGTTGTCAAACTGGTTAAAATAAACCCTTAATTTACAGTTATATGTGAAAATATTCTTGCTCTATAGCTGCTTCAGCTATTTTTCAGTGTGTACTGTGTGTTTTTCGGAGGCAGACCTTTAAATTAGCAGAATAAAATGGCAAGAATCTGCAAAAAAACAAGAGACAGCGATGGATGCGAGTCACCGGTATATTCGTCCAATCGTAGTACTTTTGTGTCCTTTGAGAACAAGTAAAATGTACAATTTAGTGTGTTTTATGTATTTTTGTTTTATATATGCATTTACTGTGTTTAATATTGGCAGGTTTAAGCTTCCCACTACTGGACAACACTGAAATGCAAAACAACTCTCCATGTTATTTTCTGTGTTGTGATTTTTTTGTGTTGCTGCATGGAAGATATCACAATGAAAAACAAATAATTCAGCTGTTAAATACAAAAAGTAAATTGTAACTAAATAATTTACATGTAATTTAACATTTAATTAAATTCAATATTTTAAATAATCCATATGTTCTCAAAGCATTAAACATAAAATATATCATGATTTCTCTTTTCTGTAACCAGTTTGCAACAGAGGACATAAAAGAGAGAGCAAAGAATTAAAACACTTTTATGTCTATGACTGTTGGAGTTAACATGGACAGAATTGGGAATATGATCAATTCAAATAGAATGCTGATAGAATATAATAAACTAGCCATTTTACCTCACCTTTCACCTTCCATGCATAGTTTTTTACACCCAGTCTGTAAGAGCTGTAAGTGGGCCTGACCATGGTTAGTGTGTTTAGTTTAGTGTGTGTGACTGAGCTGTGTGGACAGCATGAAGTATGGCAGCGGCATAGGGGAGTTGGCCGACTGTCCCACCGAGTCCAGCACTCGCTGTTTGGGTTGGCACCCCATCCAAGAGCCCTCCAATCCAAACACTGGAGGGCTGTTCACAGGCCATTACCTCTGTGATTGACAGGGCAGCCCACCACTCAGAGGGCAGCACATGAAACACAGTTTGTTCGTGCCAGGAGTTGTCGCTGAGGGTGATGATCAGGCAGTTGATTGATGTAACTATAAAAGCATTTCATAAGGTTTTGGTGGTTAAATTGAGTCGATTATGACCTTCTATGCTGATTATTTTTCTTTCTGACCAGTCATACTAACTCTTTTTATAGCAGCATTATCAAGGTACAGTTTGATCATTATTGGCCCTTATTCAGGCTTCTACTGGAGAGAAATTTATGGAGCTCAATAGGACTTTGGGTCTTGCGTTTATAGGACTCTGGTTATGTAAGCACTGCTCCTGACAGGGTTGAGGTGGATGTAAACAGGCTCAGTTAAAGTCTAACTTAGTCACGTAACATGACTGATTATGACTTATAGGCCTTGATTATGTGTCATGATATAATTCAACAGTATAACCTAAAATTGTAGAATTCAACCTGCTGCCATACTTGTTCTTGCAGCCTGGTAAATCCTGGTGGTAAATACCGGCACAGTAAGGCTTATTTTGCAGTCAGATAAGCACACTGATATAGAGACACAAATCCCATCAGAGGGGGAAGCAGTGCCAGAATTTGCAACCAAGGGCTGAATAGCTTGTAAAAAACATTAGAGCGTGTCAAAGGATTATTTTAACAGCCATGTCTACCAGAGAGGAAAAGGTATATTGACAGTCTATCTGGTCTGTCTTGTGTCCCTTCTCCATACCTTGCTTTTCTTGGATAAATGATTGCACTAATTGGCCAGAAGTGAAATACTATATTTACAACTAAAGACCATGATTAACCGAACTTCTGCAGTCTGAAAAAGCTATTTGCTCCACATACTGAGGTTGGGAATCCCACAGTTTTCTCGCTGCTGATGCATCATATCTGTATCCAACTTTTGTGATTCTTAAAGGCTCAGTTTTTTGCTTATGCAGCTAATGAAAACTTAGTTTGGTGCATCCCACCACACTTTTAGGCATTTTTCTGTTGCTTGATAGCAGACGGAAAGTGACAATGAGGCACCTTCATGCAATACAAAATGAATAGAGAGGGATGAAAGTATGTTTGAGGTGTCCTGTTACATTAATGAACACATGACAGCCAGGAGGTTTATTATTTAAAAAAAATGTTTGTCAGTACTGTTACAAATTAGCATTACAATGATTCACATGACTTATTTCTGATCTGCCACCAATCTGCCAGAATAAGACTTGGCTAAGAATATTGGGCACAAACAATTGACTATTGGTAGGAAGTTGGGTGCAAACAATATCTTTTGCGAAGTTTTTGTGGTGCTATAACAATGTCGCAGTACATTACATGTACTACAGTACAGTGTAACTCACACAGCCACTAGAGGTGGCCTTATTAACATAAACATTGTGTTTAAGGGATTTGAATAAACGACTAATTCTGTCATGAGCGAGAACAATCTCATATAAAGTGTAACTGTTCATCACCTGATTAGCGTGCATTCATCCTTGTTATTCCTGAGAAAGCGTGAGGTGATCCTAGATGGAAGTGCCGTCCTCAGCGTTTCTCTGCATATGCTGGGAATGTGGGCTCTGTGGCATTGGTTCTCACCATTAACGGGACTTCCCTCCTGAATAGGCTCTGCCAAACTATGCAGCGTCCCGCCGAGTCCAGAGATGAGGACATGGGCTTGCAGTGAAGCCTAGCGGTTCCTACTTCCTATCAATGACAACGAGCATCAATCTTAGCCGCCCTTAGTCCTGGACCCTGCCAAGCACTATTCCAGTGAGAAGGAAAAAAGCAAAAGACTCAGGCTGCTGGAATTAAACAAAGGCTGGATTATCCTCGCAATATGTCTCTTAGCAGGACAGTTCATCTCAGAATCCCCCATGGTTCATAGCGGAAGAAACGTCATAATTTCAGTGCTTGACTGCTGTACTGCTCTCATACTCCTTGTCTGCAGACTGTCATTTACTTTAAGAGGGCAAATAAAGTTTGACATAAAATATAACCCTGTTGCTTCCATTTTGACTCAATCCAAAATACGCCATTTAACACTGTATGTGACACTTCCAAAAACATTCCCCGTGGCATTTATTCCTCTCACACCTGCTGAAATCCAGCAATAACCCTGTTAAATAAGCGAGGTGTGGAGTATTGCTCGGGAGCAGTAGTTTTCTCTCGGAGCTCCTCAGGGTTTCCCCAAACGCTTGACCTCAAGCACTTGAGGAATTCCACCTCAGTTTCACTGATTGGAAACGAGTCCAGACAGATTGTGGTGCTCCTCTGCTTGTACCACACACACCTTCGGTTCTCAGCAGCGTGTTTGTTCAGGTGCAACGGACCCCTCGACCCATTGGGGTTTACGACCGCCCGCCTTGATACAATTCACAAGTTTATTAAACAGCGAGAGTGTTCAAGATGTGACTTTTGAATGATTTTCTCAAAATAGAAAGGAGTAATCCCACCCTGGGCCCCCAAAGTTTGTATTGTGTGTGTGTGTGTGCGTCTGTGAATGTGTATATGTGGATTTGTACTTGAACACTGTTAACATGAGAAAACGTCACAACTTTAAAGAAATAATCAAATAATGTAAAGTAGCATAGCTTGACATTTGGTTAAATATGCTTATTCACTATGTTATTCACACAACTGTATGCTAAATATGAAGCTACATACAGAAGCTTAGCTTAGCACAGCTAGCCTGGCTCTATCTGGAGGTAACAAAATTAGCCATAACCAGCACTTATGAAATAATTTACATCTTTATTTAATCTGTCAAAACAACAATTCACCATTTTATAGGTGGTTATGTGCTGGACTATTTCTTGGCTCTCAGTTGCCAGGCAACCAGTGGAGACTCCAGGAAGTTACTGGACCCGAAAGATGTAACGTGTTTTTATTATTCTTGGACAAAGCCAAAGTAGCTGTTTCCCCTCATTTTCACTCTTTATGCTAAGCTAAGAGGCTACAGCTTCATATTTACCACACTGACATAAAAGTAACTGTCCACCAGAAAGCAAATAAACACATTTTCCCAAAATGTTGAACTAGCAATGATCTTTAGATAAACTAAAAATTGCATCGCCATCAAGCTAAAAATAAGGTTGTGTGTATGTGCAGGGAGGGACACGCACACTCACGTATGCCTTGTGTGATTGTAACCCTGACATTTTAGCTTCTGAACCACCCATATGTGACCACATTCATTCATCCCTAATATCTTTTTTTACTCAGGTTTAATTGTTTGATAACTGATCCCTCAATCACAAATCCCACCACATATCAAGGCTGCCACATAAAACTTAAACCTCATTTAATAACTTGGGCTGCTTTTATTATAACAAATACATTGCTATACATAGTCTATATGGGGCTTTGTGGTTCTGCAATATTTGAAGGTTACTGTTCTCTCTTGTACGGCTGCAGAAGCCAAAGTGGACGGGAGGTGCCAAAAAGCACAGACCAGACGGGGTGGTCCGGAAAACGGCCCGGAGATCCAGTGAAACTTAACAAGCATGTTCCCTTTGGATGTTAAAATGAAGTGTAACACAGATATTAATGTAGCAAGTATCACAACACAGCAGAGGAATGTAAACTGGAGCACTGGGACATCAGGCTGGACGCTAACCAGCTGCAGCCAAATACCCCCGCCGTCATAATAGTCTGAATCCCCCCCTCCCCAAATGGCCAGCTACACTCAAGCCTCAGCTTTTCATCACGGCTGGCCAGAAGCGGGAGCGAAAGGGCTCCTTCTGGGGTGAAAGTGTCTAGTTACTCATCTGGGGAAGGAGCATGTTTTGATTTTTGAGATATATCACTTGTAGTGATGTAAAGGCAGAGAATGTGTGTGAGGGTTCAAGGCCCACGCAGGGATCTCATGATTGTTGTATGGCTGCTCATTAACATAGCAGGTGGATGGTGGGATTAGATTTAGACTGACTCCTGTTTTATGTTGGATCTGTGTGTGTGTGTGTGTGTGTAACTTCCTCCAGAGGTGTCCATCCTCTGGGCTGCCCACCAGGTTCACCACAGTTCAGAGTACTACAACCTCACCACCGCCCTCAGACAGTCCCTCACCCAGCAGTTCACATCATGGGTAAGATATTATTCATTCTCTTAAAGCATTATTCCTATTAACAGCATATCACATTTAACAATACCAAGTATTATCTGCTCTGCCAGAGACTGATATATCTTGTTCCTCTGTGCCTTAAACTGCCATTGTTGTCCCAAAACTATTAAAAACACATTATCATGAATACATACACTGAAGTTTATTTTGAGTCAATCCCACATACACTGTCCCACTGCTGTAAATACTCAGTAGTGCACCAAATCTGCAGCTAAAAATGGTTCCCAACAAATACACTATTTACTCCTGTTTGAATAATGTTTGCTGAAATCACCAGCTGTTTAAGTTTGGAAAGTCAGTATTGTAAATGTTGAGAGAGGCTTATACCAGGTATGTTTTGGTCTTTTCATGGGATTTGTTCACAGTAACAAAAATATATAATATTGCCAGCCTTATCCTTAAAATGTACTCCATATTGTTTGTATTTGGTGGTCTAATGTTTTCTAATTTTGAGAATTCACATATTGAGGTGCAGTACAATGTGAACACAACTATAGCATTCACTCACATGGGATATATTTATTTATTTATTGTATGTGTAAAGTCACATTAGAGTATATAAAAAGCAATCTCATAAACGTTGCTGATGAAGTCAAAATATAAAATGTGTCTTTTCTATCAGCATGCACACACCAGGAGCTGTGATGTAACTGTGCAGGAGATGCTAACGATGTTACTAAAGTTGTATATCAAGGTTTTTTGGGACTGGAAATGTTCCATCTGTTGCAAATACAATGGCTCGATGTGTTCTTATAATACGCAGTATGTTAATAATCAAAGAGGACTTTTAATAGAAAGCAGACGTTAGTTTCTCAGCCTTGGTGTGAGGGAACCCCTGAGGTTGCTGTGAATGTATCACAGGAGATTTGTCAGACGTGCACTGTATTCATTTCTCTATTCTCCTCCTCAGATCTTCTACCTGCCCTTGGCTCTGGTTGCACCCCCTGCGATCTTTGCTGTTCACATACAGTTAAACCTTCTCTACCAGTTCTGGATCCACACAGAGGTAAATATTTAAACACAGTTATAGATTATGTAATCAGTTGGACTGCTGTTGTGGAAACTGTGCCATGAGATGGATCCTAAAAAGAAGAATTTGTGTCTTCAACAAAGGGCTGTGATGTTATACATGTTTATTATATAATAATTATTTAATATAATTAGGTATATAACTACCATCATTCATCACCACACACATGTCCTGTTTTACGTCTTTGAGTGTAGCACTGACAGTTTACCTGCATATAGAGTGTCAGGATAAGTTTCAGATAATGATTAACATGAGTTTTGTGTTATAGTTAGAGATGCACAGCATGAACAGCCGGCGACCAGAATTGGCCGGTTTTCAGCTTGTTTGGGCGTGAGCGGTGACTGGCCAATAAGTCTCGTATATATCCGCTTCTGGTCAGATATTCAGATATACACACATACTGTGATGGTCCCTGTGCACAGCGACACAGACAGTAACAGAGAGGTGGGGCGGGGCCACCCGGTGTGTGTGCAGTAAGAGAAGTGTGTGTGTGTGTGGTAAAGGGAAAAACAAGGTGAGCGCATTTAAGTAGTTTGAGAGTAAACTCGAAAATAAAGTGAAAAATGGAAAATTGGAATGGTAAAATAAGATATACACTCATTTTGAGCTGGATTCTATTGAAAGAAAAAGCTCTGTCAGCTCTGTTCTGTTATTTGTATACTGTTATACATATACTGTTTACTTTCTTTTTGATTCATATGTAACACATTGGCTCAAGTAACTTGTGGGAATTTGTTTTTTGCCATTTTTTTACATTTCTTTTTAAACACTAATCTAATCTAATTGAAAATTCTTTGTAGCATTTATATGCAGGTGGAGAACGTTAATACTATGTACTATGTAAAGTATATTACAAAGATTAAATATGTAAATATATTGTGTTTGCAGTCAACATGTTGCACATTTAGCTCTTCATGAATTTACGGTTCCATTCATTGTTGCTGTGCACTGTAAAAAAGGTAATAT